ATAGTTGGACTGCTGACTTCCATTCATTATTCATCTTAAAGGCCGATTTAGAAATATTAGGAAAGTGAAATATAATGGAATAATTCTATAACTAGGATGAAAATAATTGGCTAAATCAGTGACCGTTCCCCTTTTATTAGGTATTCAATACCCAGGTTCAGTGATGGTGATGGTTTAATGTGTCTGTGTTGACAAATTCCTGTTAGTTTGGGTTGAATACAAAGTGAGCAGTTAATAAAATATTGATTTAAATAGTCTTCCTTTTAAAACTGTCCCCATTTATATGGACTGGTCCGCAGTATTGGGGAACATTTTTGAGTTTGGTAGCCACATTCTATGTGTGAGAATTGGCTGTATAAATGTGTATATTGCCTAGTAGTAGGCTTGTGCACAAACACATTTCTGCTGTTTTGAACAAATCACATTTGTTTTTATCTACAACCAAACTAACACATCCACGATTTTACCTTTAGAGTCTGACACTTAGTTTGGGCAAAGATTAAAAAGACTTTGATTTGTGTGTTTTTGTGCTATTGTGATATTGATCAGATTATAAATGCATTGAGGTTTTTTATTTTTATTCTCATTTTCAGTTATTAGATGTAATCTCAACAAGTGAAAAGCCTCTGTCTGACCAGGATTGGTACCACGGTGCAATTCCAAGGGTAGAAGCCCAAGAACTATTGAAGCAACAAGGGGACTTCTTGGTGCGGGAGAGCCATGGGAAACCTGGTGAATATGTCCTTTCTGTGTTTTCAGATGCACAGCGGAGGCATTTTATCATTCAGTTTGCTGATGTACGTTTGTGAGAAACCTTTTCCTCCTTTTTAAAAATTTTATTATTTTTGTTATGTTCGTGACATGGGCATTGAAATGAAAGTACTTTTTTCTTAAATGAATGACAGGATCATTGTTTCTTTCTAAGGTTATGGTAGAGAAATGTTTAAAAAAATAAAATAAATGTCATGACAGAAACTGGATTGTGTGTTCGAGGCATTCTAACATGATACTACAAAGCAAGGCTTAGACAGGCAACTCAGCATTCTTTTTCATGGTTACATTATAAATTAAGCTATGTTCTGAGGAATGTTTTACCCAATTTCTCTGGCTTATGGCTTGTATGAAAATATTCTGTTTGCCAGAACATGTTTGTTACCATTCTTGCCACTTTTCATTAACTTTTCAGTTGTTGGACTGTGTATAGATGAAGTGTGTGCTGCAGGGATGTATTTAGTCTATTTTTAAAACATTACTGGTTTGCGTTTGATCAACTACCTTGAAACAGGTACGCACAGCGCAAGGAAGTATGTATTCCTAACGCTATAGTGTATTTCTCACTAGTTAGATGTCAGGATCGGCCTAATTTTAAAGTAAAAATGACAGTCTGGCTGCCTCTAGTGTCCTCTTCTTTAATTTTTGGGGAGGATTTAGAATTTTATAAAGTGTAATAGTAATGGCTTTTGTGTAACTCGGAGACTAATTCTGTAAAGTCATGGGATCTGTGTGCAGTTTATTTTATTAAGGTTTAGAATGCAGACAAGGGGAACTTCTGGGATAAACAAAAGTAATCCAATCATGGCTTGGATTTTAATATATATATATATATATATATATATATATATATATATATATATATATATATATTTCACTACTTCTCTGGTCACCAGAACAACTATAGCTTAATGTAGTTGCTCTGGTGTCTACAGAGAAAAAGACAGTGTTTAAATTACTGCCAAGGAACACAGTCACTCAGAAGGTTCTCTGAGGACGTTTGTAGTTAAATTTTCTTTTGAAAGCTGTGGCTTGCAGCTCTCCTGTTGTAGTGATAAACGAAAACATTGTAAGCTTGGTATATGAAGATTAGTTATTTACAATCCATTCCAATTGGATGTGTATCTGTGTCGCAATGTTTCAGTTACATTCTAGTTCCCAGACTGTATTCATAGTTGCGACTTGTGGTGGGAGCATATTATACACAGGTTTATAAAATATTCAGATATGCCTGGCCTGTTTAGTAATACTTGTACTACTTTATTATTTACAGGATGTGTAATTTAGTTAAATTTCTTTAAAAGGACACTCTAAGCACCAAACCACTTTAGCTTGATGAAGCAGAATGGGTGTATAGATCATGCCCTTGCAGTCTGATTGCTCAATTACAATTTGGGAGTTATAGCACTTTTTGAACTGGTTATACAACCCTAGCCACACCTTCCCTGGCTGTGTCTCACACAGCCTATATGGGAAAAAAAGGTATAATTTTTATTTAGATTTAACAGCTTAGTGTGTTTACTTTAGAAATTCTGTCATCCTGTATTAATTTAATTTTAATCACGGGTAGGGGTCTCTTGCAGGCTGTTTAACTACAAAATTCCTAATTAAACAGATTGTGTAATAAATAAAGCTTAAACATCTTTAAGGTCTCTCTTTACAGGAAATGTGTATAGAGACTGTGTAGTTTACATGCAGGGAGGTGTGATTAGGACTGTATAAACAAAGTAATTGTTTAACTCCTAAATGGCAGAGAATTGAGCAGTGAGACTGCAGGGTCATGCTCTATGCACCAAAATTACTTCAGTAAGATTGTTGTCTGATGTGTTTCCTAATTTGTCACATAGTTTCTTTTGAATAATGCAATTTATTATTTTATACATGGTATGCTCACTGGGATAATATAGTATCAAATTATTTAACCAAGAATTATCTGTAACAAGTTATTTATTTATTTTTTTATTTTTTTACAGTTCTTGAGAGTCGTCTTGATATCAGCTTAAAGGAACACACATACAGATATACACATAATAATAATACACAGATACACACACGACTGTGCACACAGATACTCACTACACACACATTACACACATTCAAACAGATACACACACTACACATACAAACACACATTACACACATACTGACAGACACAAACCCACATAGTTACATAGTTACATAGTAACTATGTGTACACATACACACATTAAAAAAAAATTAAGCCACCCCGCAGGTTCTGCTGGCTGTGGCTGCTGGGAGTTGGGGGCCTGCTCTCCCAATCCGGCCCCATCCTCGCGACTTCCTTCTCCTCCCGCGCGGCTGTGTGAGTGAGCTGGGAGGAAGTGATACGCTGTCACTTCCTCCCAGCTCTTTGTGCACGATAGAAGGGGCCCAGTCGCGCTGCTAAAGAGCCACAGCGCACGACCAGGCCCCTCATTGCAAATGTCTATCTGGTGGCCACCCGATGGACCCTCACACAGGTTCCCAACCCATGCGGTGCTCCTGCACTGCCCCATGGGTTGAGAACTCCTGCTTTAGATTATGACAGGGGAGGCAAAATGCCGCCCCGTCAGAGTTCCGCCTGGAACTGTCTCCACCGCGGTCTATGGACGGGCCGGCCCTGGTCTCTTTAACAAGTATTTAGCATCTTTATACTAAAAGGCAAATGCAACTTGTGCGGCATACATAGCACCTCTCAATCTCAGTGATTGTTTACACAAGAGACCCAGAATGCCATGCATAGCCATAGTAACACCCTGCCATTTTAACAGTTTTCCAGCCGCAGCCAAGATTGGATGCCACCACTGGCCAGCTATGGAAGGCTCTCTCACCCTGTTTGGGTTTCTATGTGAACTTAATGGCCCCTCATCGAGATATACTTTAATAGCTGATTTTATATCAAGAGTAAAGGATATCAATCTCCACATCAATCCCAGGAGCCAGCTAATTGTGCTCCTTAAATGCTTCTACTTTAGCATTAGAGACATACCGTGGTTTAATAGGCCTGGCCGAACATTTACTATAGTAGATAAAACCATGCTGATGAGGAGCACCCCATATAATAGTATCTCTAACCCGATCTCTAGGGTTTTACGTTATTACTAGTGATGTCCCGAACTGTTCGCCGAACGGTTCGCTCGGACTCCAGTCAACTGACACATTCCAGCCAATCAGCAGCAGACCCTCCCTCCCAGACCCTCCCACCTCCTGGACAGCTCACTAAGAATGCAGCTTCAAAATGGATGCTGTCCAGGAGGTGGGAGGGTCTGGGAGGGAGGGTCTGCTGCTGATTGGCTGGAATGTGTCAGCTGACTGGAGTCCGCGGCGAACCGTTCGGACATCACTAGTTATTATTTTCCTTTGTTTTCATTTTGCTTTTGATCACTCTTTACCGGTGTCCTCTTTCATATTGTATGTGGCAAGCAGATTACATCCTGTTGTTGCTTAATTTTCCAGTAATATCTTCCTTAGGTTTGGTGAAGAATCCTATTTAATTTTAAATATATTTTTGTTTTGGTTTTGTTTACAAGACTGTGCGTTTCGATAAATGTGATGAATTAAACTTTGTATGATCCTTATATTTGTCATGTGTTGCTCACCAGCCATTTGCATTCTTTCATATGTTAAAAGTTCAATCAGTAATGATGATGCTTTTACAGTGATTTATGTTGATTTTTATTTTTAATTTTGTTGCTCTTCTTAACAGGATCAGTACAGGTTTGAGGGTACTGGCTTCCCAACAATCCCACAACTTATAGAACATCACTATACAACCAAACAAGTTATAACGAAGAAATCTGGGGTTGTTCTGCTAAACCCGGTTGTCAAGGTATGTCTACGGATTACTGATATTGACTGGTCTTTATAAATGGTATTTACGTCCTAGTCCTGAGGTCTGTTAAAATGCAAATCTCCATTATCGCTTTTGTGGTGATATCATTGAATGACCATCGACTTTGAACAATTCCCCAAGGAATAATTACACCTCGATTTACTTTTGTTTGGTTAGTCGACAATATTCTTTAACCCCTTAGTGACCAGACAGTTTTTCAATTTTCTTACCGTTAAGGACCAGGGCTCTTTTTACATTTCTGCAGTGTTTGTGTTTAGCTGTAATTT